TATTTTTGGTTCTGCTAGAAGAAGTGATCCGGGTTGGAAGTATGATAATCCGAAACCAAATGATAAAAATTGTATAAGGTGTATTTTTTTTTGAAAAAGATACCTATGGAGGTATTAACCGAATCAAGAAACACCTTGCCGGTAAAGAGAATGTTGTTTCCTATCACAAAGTTCCTGAAGCTATTCGGGATGAGATTAGACAATATTTGAATTTAGTAGAACCAGAAAAGGATGAAAATGAGCCTTGTTCCATAGTTGTTGGGTATAGGAACGAGAATAGTTCCGGGATCGGGGGCGGGATCGGTAGATCGAAGCTATATTGAAGATCCCTGTGTTAGGGATCGATGCCCGTACAACATCAAAGGTCGGGATCGAGCTCCATGTGTGTTGGGGATCGAGCTCCTTTATTACATAGGATCGAGAACTATTATGTAAAGGTGCGAGATCCTATACATAAGAAGTGAAGTTCCCAAGGGAATTCGTTTGAGTTTCTTAACTCATGGGAGCACATTACTAAAAGTGATCCAAAATATTATGGAGCAAGGAATAACTTTTATGGGAGCGAGTTCCATTTTCTTAGAACACAAGTTCCTTGTGTAGGTAATATGGATTTGTGGCTTTAAAATGTAGCTCCCAACGTTGTTAACCAAAAACATGTAGGCATAGTCTTTCTATGAAATAAAGGAGAAACTTTAAAGCAATCCCATATTGGTAAGATCTGGATGCCATATATGGCGATGCTTGTGTTCCATTATTTTGGAATCTAGATGCCAATGCTCTGGAGCGCAAACCATAAGCTAGGGAATTAGATCATGTAATGTTCAGGAATGCAAAATTAAATTGTAAGGGGCTCATTCCCTTATAAGATGGAGTGAGATCCCGAAAACACTAAATTGAGTGTCAGATGAGATCCGCTCTGGGATCAAGAGAATTGAGGTTTTGCAAGGGATCACCCAGCAAGGGAGGAGATCCCGGTTACTATTCCTTGTTCTATGGAAATATCTTCTCCAGGTTCTTCTAGAAGTGACGATCCAAGTTGGAAGTATGGTCATAACCCGAATCCGAATAACAAAAATCGTATTAAGAGTAATTATTGTGGAAAAGATACTAATGGGGGTGTTTACCAGTTGAAAAAACATCTTGCCAGTATTAAGGGGGATGTTACCTAGTGTAAAAATGTCCCTAAGGCTACCAGGGAGAAAATTATATAATATTTGAGTTTAGGGCAGCACAAAAAGAAAGAAAAGGATGAAGAGGCACCAGGTAGAGCAGCCAAGACTCCTAGGGCCTCATCTGCACAACGTAAGAAGGAGGTAGAAAAAGACGAGGAAGAGGAAGAGGCAGATTCAGAAGAAACAAAGGACGAGCATTATGTTGAAGAAAAACTGATGATGATGGCCTCGAATCTGATGCATATGATTAGGCTTATTCTACTCCTTCTGATGATGATGATGATGACTGAAGAATGAAGAGTTGAAGACACTTCACTCTTGCCTTTAGTGTTAACTATTGAGTCCTAGACTGTATATTTTCCGAATTTCTGTATATATATTTTTTATTTTTAGTTTCTAGTTTATCCTATCTAACTCTTGTGTGTATGCTTTTATGGTTCTAGCATTGTATAAAAATATGGATTATGGACTATCTAAATTCTCTTCATTCATGGAAATATGGATTATGTGTTATATAGTTATACTGTTAGACACTTAAACTAACCTTTTTCTTTCTACTGGGCCGCCTAGGTTCTAGGCGCCCGCCTAGGTTCTAGGCGCCCGCCTAGGTGCTGGACGACCTGGACTCCCACCCCCGCCCCTCGGGCTCCTAGGTGCCGCCTAACGCATTTTGAAACACTGCACTGTATATTCCAATAGTTGATGATGGGGAATGCATTTGGGTATGGTCGTGAAAATGGCGGGTCATACTTTTTGGATACTCTTGATTGTGCCTTGACTGCAACAGTCACATTGTCAATTGCTAATAAAGAAAGGATTTATTTGTTGCACACTCGACTTGGTCATGCATCGTCTTTTACTTTGTGTTCTATAGTTACTAAATTGTTTAAGTCTTTGGGAAAAGTTCAATTGCAATGTAACATTTGAGAGTTGTCAAAACATTGTAGAACTTCATTTCCTATCAGTATAAAAAAAAAGAATGATGTTCCTTTCTCTCTTATACACTCTAATGTGTGGAGTCCTTCACCAGTTGTATCTATGTTTGGATTCGTTTCTTTGTTACATTTGGGATGATTGATCTAGATTTACAAATGTCTATCTAATGAAACACAAAGATGAAGTTGTATCTAGATTTACATTTGCAGAGTGTGTGTCAAACAAACTTAGAGATTATCTTATTGATCAAGGGATTGAGTTCCAAACAACGTATCCTTACACACCTCAGCAGAATGGTATAGCTGAGAGAAAAAATAGACACTTATTGGCCGCACCCAAGCTTTTTTACTGGGAATGAAAGTTCCAAAAATTTTCTACTCTGCAGCAGTTTACATTGCTATCTTTTTAAATAAAATGCATTCCCCCTTGTGTTCTTGAAGGAAAATCTTATGCTGAAATTGTTCATCCCAACTCACCCATGTTCCTGTACCTCCCAAGGTGTTTGGTTGTGTATGTTTTGTCCACATCCTTGGTCCAAAGAGGGACAAGCTGGACGCTAAAGCTACAAAATGTATTTTTTTGAGTATCCATCTCATCAGAAGGGATACAAGTGTAATGATCCTATTTCCAAGGTCTGCTAGTTTCTCTAATTGGATTTTTTCTAGATGCCAAACTGAATTATTTTTAGAGAAAATGATTAAAAATGATTTATTATAGTTCTTGAGATTTTTTAGTAATTTTGTTTTGAGCAAAAATGATCCATTATATTTGTTGGGAGATAATTACAAACAAGAACAATTGCACATGTGAACAGGTGGCAAACAAGTGGCCAATGTGTGCCACACGTGGACCCCACTTGAACTGCCACATCACTGCCCAGTAGGCATGACATGGTTGGTATAGGTAGGGGTGTGTAAGAATTTTGTTATGGACAAGCCTATCAAATCAGTGCTTGTTTCTTATTTTACTTCCGAGTTGAGTTCATGTATTTGTAATTGTTTGAGTGGGAGGAGTTGAGTTTTCCATATGTTTTGCTTCATTTTCATTTAATGTTTGTAGTCCTTGAGGGGTTTTCCCAAGGTATTGTGAATGTAATCAAGGAAAATTGTAAGTTTGTGTATCTTGTGTGGGGCCCTTGGTACTAATTCAGTTGCAATCTTCAAAACCTAAAACAATAAATCCGAAATTCTAATCCTTAAAAGAAAGGGTAACTTGACTGTTTGAGGACAAATTGGTAAGGGTTTCAAACTCAGTGCTTGAAAAAATCGGACTCGTTGGTTGCCCAGAGTGAGAGCACATGGAAAGTCCCAAGTGGAATTGTTGAGTCTGCCAGAGTTGGGTGAGGCACCCACAAAAGAAACTCACAAAGTTGGGAAAATTTTAAAAATAAAAACAGGACATATAAAAATTCATAACAATAACAATTTTTTCAAACATATAAGAGAACTTATATGCAAAGTGAAAAATGATGAAAAGTTGATTTTATTGACGGATATTTGATGAAATCAATGGTTTTTTGAAATCTTTGGCCAAGTAATGTTTTGATGATCAAAATCCCACAAAGCTGAAACTTGAATATTTCTTATGGAAAATATGCGATAGAGAAATAAAAAACTAAGCTTAGCAAAGGATGTGAAAAATTTACAAGTTTTCAAACTTCCAAACCCTAAATCACAATCAACATCTCACAATCCAAGATTTTTTATATTTTCTCCTGAATATGATGCTTTCAATCCTTAGAAGAAACAAAAAGAGACTTAGAAGTGAATTTTACAGAAATAGGAGCTTCAATTTACAAAAAAATGGAAGAAATTGGCATGGTTTTTCCACATCCTCCCTCATATTTAAGTGGCAAGAAGTGTTGGAGTCGAGTATTAAAAGACTCACCGAGTTTGCCAAATAACTCGCCCTAGTTACTACAATAACTAGGGCGAGCTGATAAATACGCCTAAGTAATTTCGGCGAGCCTAGGTAGGACACGCTGGCTTGGACTCCCTTGCTCAGACTCCCTAAGTGTTTGAAAACTGGTTTGAACCCTTAACCTCCCTCAGCCAAATCAGGATGTCTACCACTAAGCAAGGACAAGGATGCAATGTAGATGAGGAATGAACTTAAGTGTGACAAATCAAAAGGCCGAAGTGCTTGAACCGTTCATCAAATTAAATCATCATCATCATCATCTGAGCATTATCCCAACTATTACCAAATCAAATATCTATAAAAAATGTAACCTATTGACAATAAATAAAATCTAATTCTATAAGTACACATGGCAGCTCACAACAAGTTTTAAACAGCTTCACTACTTCCTTTGTGGCATTGTTAACAGTCAATTGAGTTGCATAAAAGAGAAAGAAGTTACATAACTCACGTGGTGACATTCATTTGCGAAAGCATTGCTGCCATTCCAAGGCATAAAAAATACCAGGATTCCAAAGCTAGTAGATGAATTATTCTAGTTATTTTAATTCACAGAAAGTGCCAAGCAATCACGTAGCGTAGACAATAAAGTTAGATAATTTAACTTGTAATTATGAGATGTTCGTATAATTGACACCATGATCATCATTCCTAGGCAGACAAATTAAATAACAGGAATCCATAGAGGGGGTATTTCCTAGAGTTTCCTAAAGCATCAAAGATGACTACGATAACATATACTATCAAGGTGTGTAGGCTCTAAAAATGTCCATTACATTAAGTGAAAAATTATATAGAGACAACATATAAATTGGAACAAAATAGTTTCCAACATGCTTTCACGATCTTTCATGGGAAAGATCAAAACGATCACCAACAAAAAGCATAAGTCAACAGCTGGAGTGAGGTCAAAACTCATGAGAAGTGATTATTTCAGTGCCCCCACTCGGAATAATGAAGATTGGAACTTACCTTGCTAAGATTTAAACAATCATATTTTGGAAGAATTATATCAACAGCATGTCCCAAGTCCTGAACAGCACGAGAAAGACTTGTCACAACATCTCCCAGACCCCCAACCTGTATTACAGAATCATAAAAGAAATGTAAGAACAATTTGGATGACAAAAGTTACTACTAGTATCAGCCGGCAGGGAAAACAGGAACACATAGCCACAAACAATTATCTCCTTGTCACATCATTCATAGACATATCAAATTATCTATAGATTGGTGATCACTAGTACAATGAAGCAACCACTGGAGCACAATTAAGGGGGAAAGCAACATAGATGTAAGTTACATTTAATTAAAACAAAATAAATTAATAAATATAAATAATATCTAGGGTGCTCTCATGTAGAAGCAAATATATGATATTAAAGTTAAGTTTGTGTAATACTACTTGCTTGAATACATGACTAATAAATTCCCTCGTACAATGAATATTTTATGGCATAATGTTTTCAAGAACAATATGTTTTTGGGTTGCTAACCTTCCTTTTATCATTGTGCAGGACTTTAAACATTCTGATAAACTTAAGTCTTAAACTGAAATCCCTTTTTTTTTTTTCAGTCAAAGCATTTGTTGCTAGAATTTTGTGCTTTCTACAAAGCCAAAAGATTGTGTTCCCGGGGGAGCATATTGTCCATCTACACCTTCACTATCAAGGAGTATTTTTAGGATCCCACATTTTGGAGATGTAACCCCTTCCACTGAGCAACTAACCTAAAAAAAAAGGGCAGTTTGGATCCCGCGCTAGTGATTTCAAGTCCAAAGCCAAGCAATTAATTTAACATTTTAAGCTGATCTAGTGCTAGTGATTGAGTCCAAAATAAATATCCACTCAGATGTGTTTCCTAGAGTTCAGAATTCAAGGGGCTGTTAGGATCCCTGCAAAAAGATTCACTAAGAAATGGTTTCCGGAGATTGCCCTTTTTTGCCGTCTGGATCCATAATATTGGGTGGCATTTTCTTTCCTTCTACTAGAAATCGTTTTCTCTTTTTCGAGCCAAAAAAAAGAAATTGTTTTCTCCCCACAAACTGCAATATTAACTTCCTCATCAGATTTCCTTATATAGCCAAATAAGAAAAGAAGTTAAAATGAGCATATAGCTCATTGATGCTTGGATGAAAAGGGCAATCTCCTCTTGCTAACCCAACTCCTTGATGCAGGAAAATAGAGAAAAGAAGCCAAAAACAGTTCAATAACATGAAAACAGGCCAGATTTGGGTGGATCAGACTTTCCTTGCACAAAAATGTGACCCCAAAATCCTAGATAGCGCTATTTACAATCTGTTTTTACTGTTCATGCCTCAAAAACACTCCAGGCCTTTTTATTACATTACAACCAAAACTGCCCCACTTAAGTTAAAACATTATAAAATACCCCATAAGTCCCTTCAATTAAAAGAAAATTCGCAATGACACTTTTACCCCTGATAAAACAAGTAATTCCACAAGTATTCTAACCACTTTTCTAAACATCTCCAAAAATCTTAAAAAATATAAAAAAATTCTACACTCTTTAAAAGAACTTAAAACCCTAAAACATAAACCCTAAGACTAAAATAAAAAGATAAATCCTTCGAAATTAAATAAAAATTAAAAATAAGAATAGCTTTGCCCTCCATCACTCCATCTCTGTCCCCCCAACACATCTCTCTCTCTCTCTCTCTCTCCTAATTCTCCAAAATACTTATATCTTTGTTTCTCATATTTCTTTGTCTCTTCTGTTCATGGAAATCACTTTCTACTTCCATCTTGCTCTTGACATTTCCTTATCTCTCTATCTCTACCATGTTTTCCTCCATAGAGATTCCCTTTTCCATATAGAAATGTATCTTCTAGATTGATGCTAACTAGACAATAAAAACCCATTTTACAAGAAATGATCATCACAAGAAATGTATTTCACAGGAAATAGTTTTCTTTCTAGACAATGTTTTTTCCAAGCATCCAAAGGGGGCCAGAGTTTGTGAGGGTTTTCCACTGCCTGGGGTTGATTTGGTAAAGTTGTACAGATTTCTTGGGTTTTCTGCTGCGTGGGGTTGATTTGGTAAAGTTGTACAGATTTCTTGGGTATCTGGGGGGATGTAAAGATGTCAATGTCACTAGGAACTATTTGGTTTCTAATCCTAAATTATCAGAAAATTTATAGAACATGCAACTCTGAAATTAGAACCTATTACATTGCAATTGACGAATCTATATGTTGGATTTTTTATTTTTATTTTTTGAGAAAAATCTATATGTTGGATTATTGTTGGAGAACACATGATTTTGCTACGCTGAAATTGCTTGAATTTCAAGAATAATAAGTTCGTTGCTTGCTTGTTCTTCTTAAGAACGAGGTAGATTATTTTTCATGTCCATATTTCGAGAATGTAAGCAAACACGCATTCTCTGTTAGGATGGCTTGTAGGCCTTGCTGAGAGTGAACTTTCAAAAAATTCAATGTAGCACCCAACAAGTCTACTTACACTTTCCAATTACATACAAAACCAGCAGCATCTACATCATTTTAAATCCAAGCTAAATTGAACTACAACCATAGTTGTTGGAAACGCCTGGGAACCCGAATCGTTTCAGGAACCGGAATCGTGGAATCGCACCTGGCTAGAAGTTTCCCGTTGTAGGAATTGCTGTCCGTACAATAGGAATCGTTGGGAACGAGATTCCTAATTTTCAGGAATCGAGTATCGATTGGAATACGTCCAAGTTTCATCCACATATGGAATCGAGATTCAAGTCTCCTTGGAATTGAGGTTCTCATCCCCTTGGGTTCGACACTCCAAGTGTCAAGTTTTATTAATATGCGGAATCGAGTTTCCGTCATCTATAGAATCGAGTTTTCATCATCTATGGAATCGTATTTCTGACATATGCGGATTCGAGTTTCTATCATTTATGGAATCGTGATTCTAACATATTTGGAATCAAGTTTCCATCATCTATAGAATCGTGTTTCAAACATATTTGGAATCAAGTTTCTGAAGTATATGGATCAGAGATCCATGCTGGTTTGAGATAGAGAATTACAATAGTGGAATCGAGTTTCTGATAGCACTTGATTCGAGTTTCTAACATATGTGGTACATAGATATGTTGTTGTGTAGAATCTAACATATTTGGAATCAAGTTTCTGAAGTATTGAAGGGGTGAGTTGGTCAGGTGTCACTGGGTAGATTTTTAGACATTAGGAGTACTGCAATATCGTTTAGGAAGTGTCAGGTGTCATTGCATAGATTGTTTAGACATTAGAAGAGTTTGGGTTTTCTCAAGCTCAAGCCATGACAGTGTGTTGTATAGGGCCTATAGGCAGTGTCACAGCTACAATGCTGCATGTTGTGCATGAAGGAAAGATGGTGGCATCGACTTTTGTTAGTGTATCACCTGAGGGAGAATGTGGTTGGCAAAGACAACACTGGAACACCAACTCGCCCCTTCAAGAGAATGAACTATCAAATTTAAAAATTTAGAGTTTTAAAGTACTACTACTAACTACTAAACATGAAGGTGATGTCTTTTGCAGGTAACAATGGCGGTTATAACTTAATAACTATCGGAGCATTTGAAGTTTTGATTTTTTGGAATAGATTTTTGGAACCGAGTAAAAATAACATTACTAATAACCATTTTGCAATCGGTAGTAAAGCACTAAGCAATGTTGCAAGGCGAGACGTGGTGCAAGTTCACTTAAGCAATTCACATAAATATGAGCAAGGTAAAGAAACTATAGCAGTTTACATCAATCAAAATATAAGAAACATAATAAAGATAACTAAAAAAGCAACACAATCTCATTGAATTCCTTCTAAAATACATGCTTTATAAATAATAATACCTCCTTCTAGTACACATGCCGCCTAATGCTATCGTTTGGGACCTTAAAGCATGATATCCACTAGAAAATAAAACATTACTTTTGTGGTTATTATTTACAAAAAACCAATGTTTTATACAGTGTAGATGATTCAAAACCTTGACCAAACTAGTTCCATTACATGTAGAATCGTGTATCATTTAACATGGAATCAAGATTTAAATCTCGTTGGAAGCTAGATTCAATCTATTTGGGAGCGTCTACCCACGATTAGGGGTTCAAGTTTCTCTAGATCTGCTGGATCGAGATTCCGAAATTTAGGAATCGAGATTCCGAAACTAAGGAATCTAGTTTCCTTGGTTCCGAAAAATGTCTTTAAAAGAAGTGTTGAACCGAGATTCTGAAATTAAGGAAACAAGTTTCCTTGGTTCCGAAAATAGGTTTCCAAATATGTGAGGAATCAAGATTCTGAAATTAAGGAATCGAGTTTCCTATGCTGCAAAAAAAAGTTCCCACCTAGGTACGGAATCGAGATTCCGAAATAAAGGAATTGAGTTTCCGAGGTTCAAAAAAACGGTTTTCGTGGAGTTTCCTTGACGGAAATGCAGAAACGGGTTTCGGAACTGGAATCACGGGGTTCAAGGAGAGATTCCGGTAACTATGATTACAACTCAAATAAAAGCCAAGGAAACACTCTTGCATGCTCTAACACTTCTTTGGGATGGCTTGTAGGATTCTCTGTAAGGATGGCTTGTAGACCTTGCTGGGAGTGAACTTTCAAAAAATTTCAACGTAGCACCCAACAAGTCTACTTACACTTTCCAATTACGTACAAAACCAGCAGCAGCTACATCATTTTAAATACAAGCTAAATTGAATTACAACTCAAATAAAGGCCAAAGAAACACTGTTGCATGCTCTAACACTTCTTTACCATTCAATTACAAAGTAGAGATTGCAATTATAAGACAGTGTATACTTGACAATGTCAATGCAACTATTACATAAAATCCATTACATAGAATGTTTGCCGTAACATCAATACATGGGCACAACTGCAATGTTACAAACATGAAGCAATTGAATATAAAACAACTTGAGAATCATGAGAAAGCCAACTAAAGTAATTTGCCCAAAGATTACCCCAATGGGACTTCATACAACCCATCCCCATCACATTGACCAATAGAGCATGGATCAAGGCCTTTGCTCAACTAAAGGGGATGCTCCAAGATGACGCCCTAACACAGCATCCAATAGTGTGAAATTGACTGTAACAAATGAGGTCCAAGTGGGTTGCAACTCCTTGCTTCGGGCTTGAGTGGGAGAAGTGGTGGTCACAATCAATTCAATGAACATTGCAAATGGAATGCATAGTGAAGCACATAGTAAGCATAGTGATAAAGCCCCAAAGGGGGACCAAATGGTGGTTGATCTAATAGAAAAATGATGGCTGAGATCAGTCCATGAAGATTAAGTAAGGGCTATGAAAATTTGAGCTATGCTCAGCCCTTGGTGACACGGGATCAATGAGACCATATGTAGGCTAGGGTATGGGCTAGAATAGGGGATAATCAAGACCCATATTTATAGAGTAGAATTAGGGTTAGGGTTGGAGTCTAGGCAATAGAATGTTCTTCTTAAGGGAGGAACAATGTGGGCCATTGATCTGTAATCTATAGGATGAAAAGAGGCGTTAAATCAAGTCATCCATTCCCTTGGGCAACTATCATGATCTATCTAGGATTGGTCGTATACCTTTTCCCTTAGTTATCCTTAACCCTAATTGTCGTTTAATTTGAATAGTCATTACAACTCTCAAAATTCACTTAAATTCAAATTGAACTTCTAGATAAGTTAGAAAAAGAGAGTTAATAAGCTCATGTGAGCGCAATTTAGATAGAGAAAGAGGTAGGGCACACCCCATACATGGTTCCTCGCATTATATCCTTTCAGTCACATGCGAAGAGAGAGAAAATATATACTTTATTCCCTCTAACTTATGAAATGTTCAAATGTTTTGTAACCTGCATCCTAAGCACTCAAAAGCTTGCTTTATATATGTCCAAAGGAGTTTGTGACAAGTGTCCCCCTTTGAAACAAATTACAAAACTACCCACTAACTTGGGCTTGTATCACTTGAATACATAAGAGAAGCGGAAAGAGAAAGGATGATGTCATGATGATTTCATCAGTAGGCCCACTTGTGGCTGGGGTATAGTCCCTCTAATGGGTCTTGATGTAGGCCTCCATAGGCCCATGTGAAGACACTTGACCATTGGGCCTTCACATGAGCCAATCTAGATATCGTCCCCCTAATGGGTCTTGAAATGGGCCTCCATGGGTGCATGTACAGACCCTTGGCCATTGGGCTTTCGCATGTGCCACTATCCCCCACGTGCATCCTAATTTGTCATTATGTAAACCATTTGTATTCCTAGTTTTCCTTGTCAAAATAAATCTCAAAAATTAAAAAAGAAATTCCAAAAATCATTTCTCAATTGGCTTTATGAAAACTAAGTCTCTCAAACTCAAGGAAATATTGTTACAAGAGAATTGGCGCCTCAGATTAGAATTTTGCACTTTATTAAGTCACTCCCTGCAGCTCATCCCCGCAATCCTTGAACCACATTCTCAAACCGACCAAACAAAACCCTACGATCCACAATCATACAAGCCCGGGCTCATGGTTGGTCCACCAAAGTCAGGCACAAGGCACTGGAACTGTGGAAATAGGAGATGGATTTTAGGTGTTCCACCAAGGATCAAAGGTGTAGGGTTCCTCTCTTCGGCTGGCACATGTGAAGCTCCTCCCCAAGGAGGTGGCTTCCCAAAAGTATGGCTATGAGGTACACATGTCATGGTGGTATGTCAAAGTTTGGCATCTTCCTCCTGGCCACCATTGCGTATCTCTTTGACCTTGACAAGTATGCCATGAACCCTCCTCAGTTGACTTTAGGCTAGGAGCCTTATGCCAAGGGCTAAAGTATTTCAATTTTTTTACTTCACAGGCCTAGACAACTTAACCCATGTGTCACATGGGTGCAACTGGTGCAACTAGGAATTTCATACATGAAAGCTTAATTTACCTCATCTTGGATGGGCCTCAGCCGCATCTCAGTCCCTTTGAGGACCACACCAAAATATCTCACTAATAAAGGGTTTGAATACAATGGTGTTAAGGCCTTTAAAGGCCACAAACTCCTCAGGATTATTCATTGTGCTACACTTATTTCTCTATCAGCTTTATCCATATATGTATATCACCAAAGTGAGACAACAAGATGAAGAACATGAGCTTCTTTAGCACTATTACAATTTTAAATGCTATCCCGTCAAGCTAAACGTGCAAAAATCTGTTCTCCAGGGTTCTTCCCAAAACTTTCATCAGCTACCTTCGGACCAATCTTTGTGTTCCTCCTCACGTAGGAGATCAACTTTGGGAAAATCAACTCATTAGAATTTTGCATCTTGAAGGTTCCACAAACCCCATAATGATGGTAAATCAAGCAAAAGGTATTTCTCACTTTCAAGCCTTTGACACAACAAATTCAAAGAAGTTCATACTAAAACCACTATAATTTTAATTATAACACCTACCAAGCGAAACCAATCCCAAATAAGATGTGAATACTGAGACCCAAATACGACATTGTTCAGATGATATGACAACTAGAGCTTTAAGCATGGCTAAAAGATAGCACAACCAATATGAGAATATGAAGGATCACAATTTTTCTATGTAAATTAAATGGATGATTATTAATGGTGACAAAAAGAAGTCTAAGACATGATGGAAAAATAGTGAAATGTGAAGTTGATTTTTGCTTACAAGGTTTTAATTTCTTAAGCATGAATTGAGTTAAGTTTCAAACTAGACTAGAATATATACATTTTTTAAAGAATTGTCAAAGGAAAAGTAAAAGGGTGAGCTAGATTATAAGGAACATTTTAGGGACTCTTGAAAGAGATAAAAAGTGCAAGTAAAGCTAACCTTTGCAATAGGTGCCATTTCAACAGCTACATGAACAACATGCATTGGGGGCTCTTTCATAACCCCCCCAACGACAGGAATATGGTAGTCCATGCCATTTTTGTTGTCATAAGCCCCACCATCCTCCCTCTCACAAAAGACAAAGTCCATCATATAAGCATCAAGAGGAACCTTAACTGCATAAAATACACCTCTTTTAGAAATTTGAATGGAGCAATAAAACAGAATTCCAATTGGAAAGATAAACGGTGCACATGTAATTGAATAAAGTTACAGAATCCTCCCTGGAAACTACACCTTAAATAAAAGGTGAAGAATCATGATGCCAATGAAGGTTACACAACAAGGTGTTCTGCAAACAAAGAACGACAATAAAAGTTTTCCCCTCTAGGTCATATGATTTCTCATATCAATTTTATAATAAAGTAAATCCTTACAAACATATCCTAAGGCCATTATTACATGGCACAAGCAAGGTACAATAATAAAGTACGACATTTCATTTCCCAAACTAAACTTCCCTTTACACTACCACTCAAATTGATGTAAGTGATCAGCAAGCATCAGTTTGTGAAGAAGATCATGGCACTTGCTACGCATAGCTTTTCTGACAATATATTCTACTGGGTCAATGCAAGGAATATATGGAACAATTGTACCATGTTTGGATGCCACCCTAAACCATGGTTTGGGGGAATTTTCATGACGAGTTTGTAAATTGAAAGTTCAAGATGTTAAGACTGGACCTGACTGGCTCCATCCAAACTAGGACTTGTAGAACAGGTCATTCCAGATGGTCCAAGCCCCTTGGATTGGAATGGCCAGTGAGCTGGTCTCGAGCCATTAAATGGCCAGTGAACTGGTCTCGAGCTATTAAATGGCCAGTTCGATGCCTGGACCAGCCAGTCCACCAGTTCAGAATTGAACAGGCCATCCTGATCGTGCGAGCCCTTTAAGAAACGCTTTCTTAGAGAAAGAGAGAATCACTAGATGATTTTCTTTCAATCTATCTAAACCCAGCAACCATAGAATTTCGGCAAACTTCCTATGACTTTTCCAAGGATTTTCCGGATACCCAATTCAATTTTCAACCCCCAAGTAAGCCCATTTGTTTTATTGTTTATTTCATTCGTTTTAGATTTAAAAGAGAAAGAAAAATTGACTAAATTTTCTATTGGATGGGGCTTTTACAAATAATGAAGTTTCTTCCAAATAATTGTAATAGGTTGTTTCTTACATTCATTTATTTGGCTTTTATAGTTAAAAGTTGTAGGTATTTGCCTATTCAGTTGATTTATTCGTTCATTTTTTATATAAATGGCTTTCGCTTGGTTTAATTAATTTAAATTACTTGCCTGTTTGTATTTAGGCTGTATAATACTTCAATTGAAATATGGAGTGTTCAAATATGGAAATTATTCCTTAGTTACAGTTTTGTGCATTTTCAAAAAAAAAATTCCGGCAGCTTTTGTTGGAAATTCCATAGTTATAATTCAGGAAATTCAATTTCTTTTATGTCGGATTTCCTTTTCTTTGTGCATTTTCGGCATCTCCATATATGGGTATTGTTCATATATGCATTTTCAGTTTTTGTTTTAATTTGATATGATTTTTTTTGGTACTATTTCATTGGTTGCAAAAGCCATTAGGAAATAGTGGACCGTGGGAAAGTTATTTTCATAGTTAAGAGTTTATGACTTTTCGATATATTTTCGGAAGGATTTTTGGGTCATATTATGTCAATATTCATATGAAATTCTGAATAATGAAATATTCTTAAGGAAATGAAATTTTCAAATATCTATTCTTATTGTCATATTACGTACTTGCATTTTGCATTTGCCAATGGGTTTGTGTGCTTCCTTTTGTTGTAGGGTTGTGAAGTGAACCTGTAAAATGTAATCATGCTTGGTGGTTTGGTATTTGCCTGGTTGGGATTAAGATTATCGGTTGGTGTACAATTGGTGGTTTGGAGTAGGAGATTAGGTGTAGGCTTCACATTGGTGGTTTGAGCTTGGAACTTTGGTGATTGAATTAGGATTTAGGAATAAAATGTGTCTACTTCTGGGTCTAATAAAGCAAAATCAGATCCTGTACAAGGCATGTCAAATGGGTACTGAAGGGAGATTAAGATGAAAATGTATGTATATACTATCAAAAAGCCATATACGGAGGGGTAATACATCTAGTTAAGGAGCATTTGGCACACAAGGCTGGGAATGTGACCTTGTTTGATGCATGAGATGCAAAAAAAATATTGAGTTAAGAAAATAAGGAAGGCAAATAACTGCTGATGAGATCAGGAACCCTTACGTGATTTGCATAAAATAAAATTTCAATGTTTAGGAGGAAGAAGAGCCCTAGTTGTCTAGGAGGAGAGGTAAAGAACATGCCACCTTCTAGCATGACTATCACTAGCAGGTCTAGGAGGCGAGGTGGTCTAGGGAATTATTTCCTACTGAACAACAACAAGCTCCCAGCCAACCATCAAAAGTGTGTGTGGTTTTTTTTTTTTTTTTTTTTGAGGTATATATAAGTATCAAAATTTACACGAAAGCCCATAAGGAGACAGCTCAAAGACTTTGCGCTTGGGAAACAGATTAAGAAAGGAGAGAGAAGTAGGGGAAGAAGGGAAAGAGATAGGAAAAAGGTTACCCATAATCTGGGAGCTCATACAAAAAACTGGTGGGAAGCACCAGTGAAGCTAGAGACCCAGCAAGAGGTGGGCAGAATGAGGGGTGAAAGAGAGGTGGAGGGAGAAGAGATGGAGAGAGTGAGAGAGGGTAGAAGAGTAGCGTGAATGGGGAACGAAGAGGGGAGCTGAGAAGAGCACTTCAGAAAAAGCCTCTCAAGGTGAGGGGGTGAGAGTCAAGGGTCCACTCTGCAATGCAATTGGCAGCTCTCGGCACCTGTCAAAAAGAAAAAGAAGTGTTCCTGGAGAGGAAGTGAATGTCATAAAAAATGTGGGCGAGTATCTATGTAGGATCAGAGGTCCTAGCTACTCAAGAAATGACAGTCCTGAAGTCTCCTTCCACTGTGAGGGAATCAAAGTCCGAAGCAAAAGGTAGCAAGCATTTAAGACCCTCCAAGAGAGCCAAGGACTCCACTGTACAAGATTTAGTATGCCCAAGTTTCCCTGAGAAAGATAGCAGTTCCCTTTCATGGTTGCCAAAGAGCCCCGAATCCTGAAGGTCTTGGATTACCGAGGGCGCACCAATTGACATTTAAATTTAGAGGGCAAGGTTCACTATTTTAGCTTGTTCTGTTGGAAGTCAGCCCGGCCAAGCTTTTACAGATAAGAATATACTTTGCCAAAGAGATAGATTCTGCAATGATGTGGTTGAAAAGAGCTAACAGATGCCTTCGAAGGTCCGTAAAGGTCCTAGCATTATGTTCCTTCCGGAGACCCAAAGGCCACATAGGACAAAAATACCCACAGAGTGCGACCCAACTTGGGAAAAGATAGTCACTGCATTCCTTATCTGAGCACGACACAACGGTTGGCCAGTTGTATTCCCCTCCTCTATAGTTGATCCCCTTCCATTGTCCTTCCATGGGTTAGTATCCTAGTAAAGGCATGAACCTTATGGGGCACAGGCAAGTTCCAAACTTTGGAAAAGAAAATTGGAGGAGGGGGAGGTTGGATGTTTGTGTTGAAGGAGACAACCAAAAGCATCCTGGGTGAGGTTGGAGACCATAGTAACGAATCCCTCCCATCTAAGGGCACAACAAAATCGTGGAGGAAGAGAAGCAACTGCTCAAGAGTTGTGCTTCTGAGCCCACTGAAAAGTGGGGGACCAGGTGAAGCTACCACCCCAGAATTCAGTGAGATTTGCAATTGTATTGTCCTTGTGAGGGCTACAGAAGGAGTTCTAGCCACCAAAGACCTAAAGGTTGCCCTTTGACCCACTAGTGAATCCAAAATTCGATTGTCTCCCTTCCTTACTTTGGATTTTACCATGTTTCTAAAGTTGTGGCCACACTTAGCGATTCATTTCCAAGCTCACAATGTTCACTGTCATGGGAATTTTGGTAGCCACCCGTTCACTTCCATGCCATATTTGGCTGCTCTTCTTTTCATAGCTGTGAATCTTTGGATATAAGCCTCCGTCACCACTTCCCTGACAATGCCAAGTTGTTCAGTTTCAGACTCCTAATACTTAGTCCTCTGCTATTTATTCTCCCATGAAGAGGTGGAACCTATAACCGTCCCCGATACCAGACTATATGAAGTTTTGAACTAGCCTTTCAAGATTAGAGGTAATTGATGATGATGTCAGAAATAGAGACACATTGTAAATGGGGATATTGGCTAGGGTGGCCTTAATAAGGATTATCCTACCCCTAAGAGATAGGTAGTGCCCTTTCCAATTTGCCAGACTCCTAAATTTTTCCAAAATCGGCAACCACAAATACTTCCTCAAGATTCCTTAGTAGAAGGGAAGACCTAGGTAGGTGGAAGGGACTGTAGCTGTGCCACACCCTAAACACTTGGCTAGGGAGTTGACTGTCTCAGGGGCTCATCCTGATAACTAACACGATGGTCATTAACTTGTTAACCTTCGTGCCTATGGCAAGCTCGAAGCTCTTGAGAAATAGCCATAGATTATCAATTTTAGTGGGGCAAGCGTCACAGAAGATGAGGGTGTCGTCTGCATAGAGAAGGTGATTGACAAAAGGACCATCTCTAGATACCTGGAAGCAGCTAAGACAACCTCACTCATGAAGTCCAGCGAGAGATTTAAAGAAAATCTTTCCTACGGTTGCGAATAAGAAGGGGGAAAGAGGGTCTCCTTGCCGAATACCCCCTGAAACTTGGAAAAACCCTTTCAGTGAGCCACTGATGAGGATTGTGAAACTAGGATCAGAAATGCATCCCTGAATTCAACTCCTCCACTTAGCTCCGAAGCCCATTTTGTATTGGACGATGTCTAAAGTTAACTAATCGACATGATCATAGGCCTTTTCCTAGTCTAGTGTGATTACACACCCTATCCAGGCAAGAGGTGCCCAGAGTGGATGGCTACATGGGCTGACAAGGTGCCATCAGCTTACAACAAAGGCAGACTATGGCTTAGAGATGATCTTAGAAAGCACCTCCTTGAGCCTTGAGGCCAGGACTTCTGTCCGGATATAATAGGAGGAAGTTCTAGTGGAATAAGGCCTAAAGTTTCACTACTCCTTCGGCCTTGTAGGAGTAATGAAAGTGGCATTCATGCCTTTGTAGATCCTTCCTCCGCAGAAGAACTTATGGAAGAAGGCTAACATGCCCGGCGCCATCACATCCCAGAATTGGTGGAAAGCCATCAGGCCCAGAAGACTTGTCCTTATCAAGGTCTTTGATTGCTCTGCTATTCTCCAATTCTGAAAAAGGTAGCTCTAACTCTCCTTTCCCACTATAGATCTTTTATAATTCTTATTGGAAACAAGATTCTTTAGTTCTCTAGTTCCCCAACCTTTACTGTTCCGACCCTTGCTTTGACTTTTTGCTAGTGTCATAAACCCGCATTACTGTCTCTGAAACCTTCATGGGAAAGACCCATGGGCTGAGCAAGGTTCTCCTTCCTATGCTGAAATTTCATTTCTTCTTTCTTAGGGTTGGCATTTCTCCACATGGTTTCTCCTCCTCTAATAGCCTAATCCCTGGCAAATCAAAAGAGGATGATGACTCACTCAAATCATGTACACACTGGCCATACTACTCACCTACTAAATTACCACTAGGTACCTCCTCTCAGGGGATGGAACACAATGCTTTAATCCCATCCACATTATCCTTTCCCTCACTGCACTCTGGTATTGTATTCATGCTTGACTCCAAGGACTTAGTGAGCCTCGTTGATTGGGCATCGTGAACAGTACGGAAGCCCTTTGTAGACCCTGATTCCCTTCTGGAACTCCCCCAGCTCCCAAACACATCATTCATGCTCTCATCCATTATCATGTGCATTTCGATAAAGCATCTTCTTTGCTCTTCCTAAATTCCATCCTTGCCTCTCTCACTAGAAAGCCATCCAATTAATGGAATCAGCCGCATCATTATCTTCAAGCGCATCCAACTCGTCCCTTCCTGCCCATATTTCAATCCCAAAGCTCTTCTACCCTTCATAAATTCCCATCCTTAACCCTCACAGTAGTTGGCGTACCAACAGCAAAGCCACCATTATCCTAATGACATCCAAGTCTGTCCCAACAATTACTCCAATAATAGATCCACAATGCGGCGCACCACAAGGCAGTGTTCAAGCTGCCCTTGCCTTTTTCAAAAAAAATGTCTTTTCCCCAAAACAGTCATGGACATCAATAACCATATTGGAAAATTTTGGTTGCCTACTATATATATCCCAACTATTTCCAATGAATGAATAAGTACCCCCATAACCGCCACAGAAACTTCATAAATGTCATTTTGATTATCACACCCATCATTTATTATCCAAAAAGCTATTTTAGAAAGAGATTGAGGTAACAGTTGTACCTGACCGCTCATTTCTTCTATACACATTAATACTTGCCTAAATTGAGCCACACATACAAGACAAGCACTCTGCACACACTGCATGTCATTTGCCATAGCCACCAACACCCCTTCAACTCCTTGACGCATGTCCTGCCTTTTGGAAACAGCAATCTGCATGGCTGCATGTATCAGATACTGTTTCCAATTGGTTCCTTCGAAATTTCAAATTTACGGCCACCGGAAAATCTTCCGCCCATTTCCGGTGGTCCTCTTAGGCAATGTTCCACACCCGATGCTATTCTTCCTGCATGAGGACATGCCCTCCCACTTTCAACACTGCCATTATCATTCAAAATGAAAGAGTATGCTGAGATTTTGGAACTTCTTTTTCCTCTTAATCTAAAAAGAAAAAAGAAAAGACTGGCTTTTCTTGTTATATGCTGTAACGAGAATAAGAACACATGTTTTACTCTGTTCTATATCGAATGACGAAAATAAACTCGCTTTTTGTGCATTGAGTAACGAAAATAAAATTTTGTTTTTTTCTACACGTTAAAAATGAAAGAACATGGGAATGAATCTAGCAGATATACTTATGATGGATGTACGTTAAATGTCCTCCCTGCTGCTCTCTCTCTCGAAAATAAAATTTTGTTTTTTTTCTACACATTAAAAATGAAAGAACATGGAGATGAATCTATCGGATATACTTATGATGGATGTACGTTACATATCCTCCCCGCTGCTCTCTCAAAAAGTACATCTCTGTGTACTTTTTGAGACTCAGAATCTAACACTCCATACCATGTCTAAACCAACAAGCACACCTGTATCCAGACAACCTAGATCATCACATGATTTCAAAGAGTGTCCCAAAATTTCAGATCAAGAAAATCCTCCCAAGAAGACCTCCTAAGTACTTTCACGTATCTAATCCATATTTAAAGTGCCCTAAAATGACATGAATGCAAACCAATAGATAAACAATCCTCTATATTTATGTTATGGATAAAATGGTGACAAAAATTAGGAAAACTAGAATACAGAATGAATCTTAATCTCAGTTCAGATGGAAATTGAACAATAAATAAAATTTCCAAATTTCAAAACAATGTACAAATAGATTAATTAGATATATAGAGCAAAATTCACCTGTTGCTTTCACATGGGAGCCACCATCAACAGCAATCATTTTCTGAGGTGGTAGAGGACCCAGACGATGCGCCCAGCGATTGAATGAGCACTTAAACCAGACCTCTGGTTTCCCACTCAAAACTGTATTGGAAGGATTATAAAAAACTGTCACTGGTCTGCCTGCTTGGACATCAAGTGGCTCAGTACAAACTATATTCCTCTGTGACAGTAGGAAGATTTTTCTTGTTTTCTCCTTAGTTTCAGTTTTCATAACAGCAGTTCTCTCCGCCTACATAAAGGAAAAAGAAACTTGTCAGAAATCCTCAAGGCATATAAAATAACACCATAAAAGGTAAACTAAGAACAAAAGGCCACAAAACATGTCAAGGTTCACTTCTCTATCAAATATGGCAATAATCCTACACAATTCCTAACCAAAATTATCAAGAGATCCATAATCAACACAATATTTACCATATGTTCCAAATAACCTGAGAAATGTGCAATGATTTTTTTGGTCATTTTAATGAAATAAAACACACCTAAAGAAAGGGGCTGGGGTCGTGGTGGTAGCATCCCCATGCCTAGTCATCACATTGTGGTTTCCATTCCTACCACTAACAGCTTCAAAAATAATAATAATACACACCTTTGCACGTTTTGCATCTTCTCTCAGCTTCCTTTCTTGCTGCAGTTCCCTATAGATTCGATGCTCTTCTTCAGCCCAATAAAGACCTTCAGGTGTGGCTCTTGGTACAATTGCATGAAAATCCTGAAAGTCATTATTGTCATATACACCAGCACTCCCTGGAGGCCCATCAGCAAAAACCCAGTCCAGAAGTAGAGCACCATCTGGTACTATGACTACATACAGAATAGAGCCAGTATGAGACTTTTCCCTATTTCAAAGACTACCACCAGGAAAAAGGAGCTACTACAAATGTTAATGTTTCAAAGTTTTCTAAGGAAAAATTCTAGTTTCAATTTAAGAGGGCACACTATTAGTTTAGCATTTAAGCAACAAAATGAAACACCTCGAATCAAGAGGAAAAAGAAGGGTTTTATTATAATAAATATTATTCAAATACTTGTGACTAGGTCTATGATCCAAGGCATCCTTCAGACCACATACAGGACAATGCAAGATATTAACCCATAAAGAAAGGAAACTAACCTCGTTTTAAGGATAAACAAGGCCCAATATAGGACGATCAAGCTCTAGATCGACCAAAAGAGAACCCACAAACACTTCCTCCTTCACACGTGCACTCAAAGAGGAAAGCCTTACAGAAATTTTATTGAATGAGGTAGTTTCATTGCAATGCTTGGATAAAGAGGAACCTCATTTATACAACGCCTAAACCAATCCACCAAATTTCCAACTTACTAATTATTGATAACTCCCTAATTTTGGTAGAGATAGAGAGAGAAAATACACCATTCCATGAAGGAATAAATTCATGTCTCTGAGTCTATGCATTTCCACCCACTCCTATAAGTGTCATAGCCAATGAATACACAATTCATTTTTGTTGGCTTTGACTTGATTCTATTACACTTACAAGACATCTATATAGCAAAACAAACAAAAAAACACGCAAAGAACTTGCATTAGTTTTAGCATTACATAGCAGATCAAAAGAGATTTTTTCCTTACCCAAGCTTGGGGCTTATAGTTAGTCATGCGATAAGAACACCGCAATGCCTTCTCTGGGAGTCCACGACAAAAGTTTATCATGCAACACAACAAACACTTCTCTAAAATGTCCTTAAAAACTTCAGCTAACCCATGCTCTTGTTGAGAGCATAAGTGCCACATTACTTTCAGCACATTATTGTCTGTACTCAAACACTTGATGTGCAAATTAAACTCCGCAACTGATTTCTTAAACTATGAACTTTGAGATTACCTCATCTTCCTTTCATAAACTAGCCCATGTGTACCAGGAGAACAATCTACCAACACCAACTTATAGTGAAATCCAATATAAGCTGTAGTCAGCAACCCATCATGTTGGAATGCACCAACTTCAATGACTTTGTGCTTCGGCTTGACGAATGCTCTTTCCATATTTGCACGCACCACAAACTAGGTCCTGCCTTGTATTACTCAAACTTGGGCACTAAATTAAACAAACTTTTTAAAGATATTGCATTCAAATAACTGGAAGCCCTCATGCCTTAATTGAGCATTCTAAATAACCGCATTATCATTGCATCTAGTCTACTCCACATAGATTTCATTCACTATCATTGTAAACAGTGATTACTTCCCATTGAAGAGAACACTCCCATAATGTTTTTCAAATTGTCCAGGACTTATACATAAGATAGCCCAAAGAGAACATGTTTCCTAGAATTAGTGATTTTAGACACTGAAACTAGGTTTTTCTTCAAGCCTAGGGCAAGGTAGACATTCTTGAGAGTTGTTGGGGTCTGTGGCATTCAAAGCCCGTAATAGTATGTAAATATAATCAATATAAATGAATTGTACACTTCTGTGGGAGGGATGATTGGTTGACTGACCCAGGGTTAGGCAGTCTATGGGCCGGGTCATGTGCAAAACCCTTTCCCTTGAACATAGACACTACAATTGAGGGTTTCTGGAGGGCTTCTGGTTAACTTGGCGAGATTCCTACGGATGTTTTGTAGGGCAAGAGAACTTTGTAGTTTCTTGTGTGCGGTTGTAGGCCAACGAGAGAGAGGGTCATAAATCCTCAACAGACTTCCACAAGGAACACATATGACAACCACATTCTGGGAAGTGACCCTATAGAAGGGAGAAATGTTTATGTGCATAGAGAGAGTCCCCTTTGAACTATAGTGATATGTGCATCAGACTTGCTATTAGGGGGAAACTGTAATCCACATATTGGAATCGTGGTTCCACTACTTATTGTCCAGCATTGATGGACCAATCATGAGCCCCCTGACCATGACTATGAGTCATGGATCCTGTTGCGTTGGTTTGAGAAGATAGTTGTGGAACACAGTTTCTGGCTTGGATGGAGTGCCTTGACAGTCACTTTTCTTGACCCATTGGTATCGCTCCATTTCTAGATGTATTTCTGAGTATATTTTGGAACTATTTCTTTAAGAACCTCAGAAATATTCTTTCTTCAGCTTCAATTATGATTATGTATTTTTTTAGAAATTGTTTGGATTCTTTTTAAAAAAATTATTTCTATTATAAAAACTTAGAAAAGGCAAAATTGATATTTTACAATTAGTACGGCTTGGTTTTAAGTAGGATCCATGTGGGGGCCAAGGGCCCAACTCCCACACATGGGTAGGCCGCATGGGGCCCACAAGGGCCACACATCACATACACACAAAGTGAGACACCCCTATTTGAATTTAATCTATTATTAAAATATTATTTGTTCTAAAGAGTCCTGATTGTATTAGGAGTCCTATTTGGATTAAGATTCCTACTTCGACTAGGATTCCTACTTAGATAAGAATTCGTATTAAAATATTATTCATTTTAAGGAGTCCTAATTGCATTAGGAGTCCAATTTGGATTAGTATTCCTACTTGGACAAGGACTCCTACTCAAAGCAGAATTCAAATTAAAATAGAAATCTGACTAGAAATGGATATGGGTCAAAGACTTCGAGGATAAGGTTCCTAAAATTTCTCCCTAATCATGATGACTGATTTTTGAGATAGATGGCTCAAATATATTTTTCTATCGCACGTCACAGATTACAAGGAATCCTATTAGTCAAATTGAATTATAATTAAGACAGGTATACCCTTGCCCTCTTGAAAACTATAAATTGCGGGTTCACCCCTTGTTTCATTGATTCAGTTTTCTAGGCTCTCTCCCCACTCCATGCCTCATCTCTCTCTATAATTTCTCTCTCATCTCTCTTCCTTAAAGGGTGGTACGCACCACTCAAGGATTCCTAGGGTCGCATGCCAACCCTAGGGCTAAGGAAGGGAGCACGCCTAGCCTAGGTTGTAGCAGGGTGGTGCTACATAGTAGCATACCCTAAGAGTTTTCAGAAAAACCCTGGACCCAGTTCATGCTCTCATACCCTAAATCTTTAAAGGTTATTACCCAAGGCACTAATTCCTAAGGGGTGACCCTAGGTAAAGTTTAGTGAGTCTTCCTGCCTAATTTATTTGCTTTTCAGATTAAAAATTCTAGATTAATATTTATTTACATAAATGTTATTTGTATATTAGAAATAGAATTTGAAAGTTTGAATTCAGCCTTTTTTTTTTAAATAATAAAGTTTTATTCTACAGAAAAAGTAAAAGATCCTAGATTGTAGTAGGTTTATTGCTTTTCTTTACTATTTCTATGTTATATTGCCACAATTGTAAGTAGAAATTCCAGTTATTAATAGAGAAATAGTTAAATTTTTTTTGAATGAATCAATGGTAATTTCTATTTCTTTTTCAGAAGAAATAAGAACAGCCATAGATATATCTCAGATGTCCAAACATAAAATAGCATCTTCTTCATTAATAAAATATAAAAAGAAGCTGAATCAAGTAATGCTTTTGTCTCTCAACATAGAATCTGAAAATGCACATTACAACACGAAGTAGAGATTGAGATAATTTTTATGCAAAAATTAATAAAACTAGGACAGATTCATCAGATATAAATGAAGAATGCGATAGGCAACTGGAAACAAAGAGTAATTCAAAACAAATCAAAATAACCCATAAGGGGGAAAAAATAGAGAGAGATTTTTCTCTACCTAATCATATTTTCTTTGTTCTTTGATAAGAAGAAAAGTAACCCAACTTCTAGAGAGAGAAACTGGTCTCAAATCAACTGGTTACAGCAGTGAGGAACATGGATTTAGGGCTGTATTGTGGGTTTAAAAAGGTCGAGAAATTGTTAAATGATAACTTGGAATTCTATATAGCCACACCTTTCATTAGTATCAGAGCAAGTCCTCCTACTGCCATAGTTTAAGAAATTTTTTTATTAGTTGAGTCAAGAACATAGCCGACCACAAATAACTGGGATAAGGCTTGGATGATGATAATGAGTCAAGAACATGGCAGCGAAAGGCTTTATGGCTGAACTTTTAAAAATTGAAAGGTTGGTGGGAAGAACTATGCAAGTTGGAAAAGAAAGATAGGTTATGTAATCTTTGAGGAAGGGCTCAGTCAGCTGCTCATATAAAACTCCCCATCTGAACCCAGAGGCAATGCTTATGAGAGGCAAGCAATAAAGGATGCTTATGCTTAACTGGAACATAAATGTTTCCTGAATAAGCATCTCCTTCTAATGGTTATGGATGACTCCCACACTCTACTATGAGACCCTAAAAACTGCAAAAGAGATCCATCAAAACCTCGAAAAGGATTATGCTACTCCATCCCTCACAAGAAAAACTCATTATGAAGCAATACTCTGACCTAAAGATGATAGGAGGAAGTTGGCTGAGTACATCCGAACTTTTAGAGCACCGATTCGAGAACTTGAGGCGGCCCAAATAAAGCTAGATGAGAATATACAAGTTTGCCTTGAGAATCTTTCACCTTAGCCCTCACTGCACAGGTGAGCACATCAAAGCCGAATGAGATCATCACCAAGCTTAAAGCAAAAGAAGATCGAAGGATGACTCATGATACTCCAACCTTCAATGACTCCATGAACTTGGTAAATCTAAAACCCAACTCTAGTTCATTCAAGAAAAAGAAGGGAAAGGGCAAGATCAAAAATAAGATATATAATATCAAAAGGGGATGGTCTAAGAAGGGTGAGGACCTTAAACTTTCCCTTAACCCATCCCAAGCTCGGGTAAAGGAGGAGGGTTAGGCAAAGCCAAAACCTTTCATGAATCCTGAATCTATGCTGTCGGGTAGGCTCAAAAGGACATGTTTAGAAGTAG